CAATTCTCTTTCAAGTGCTTCCATGCCATGTCCACCGATTCTCGCCGCGTTGTATTGCTGTTAATTACTATATGACTAATTGGAGTGCTGCTGATACATGCTGATGTTGTGACTCGCATCGTAGGCTACATAGCTTCAGGTTCTTCATCTCGAATCACGAGGATTGTTATTCTTGATCTGGCGCGGCCACCTCACATGAAGACCCTGACTTGGCTTGCCATTTTTCACATTCACCCCCCATCCATCACTCTTGCCGCCATCGCTGGCAACCACTATATCTCCTTCCTCGTATCACCCCGTCGGTTCATCTCGAATAATTTTACCCAATCATGTTTTGAAATAACTTTACATAAACACAATTTTAGGTGGTTTCTCTCGAATGGATTGGGATTTGCTTCTGCCACCATTTTTTGAGGGTTTGATCCACCGCCAAATCAAAGCCGCAGATTTTGGACCAAACCAGCACCGATACAATGTGACAATGTGATATTGTCTTGGAATTACAGTGGTGTTATTTCACTAATTTCTCCGTTGACCTTCTAAATCTTGACGCCAAAGCTGTAACTTTGTGAACAAATTTCAAGGTAGATCATGTGCAACATGTACATTATGATCAGTAGCATTTCACCTGACCGCAGCCCCTTTTGTGTCAAGAAAAGATTCGCATGGTAGCGGAGCAAGGCAACCCCCTGTGAGCTCCAGAGAAAACCCCTAGTGCAATTTCGAGCCGTAGATTTGGGGCCTTTGGAATCCAAATAGCTGAACTGGTGACAAATTGTTGTGAGTTGCGCTCTGTACCCCGTACATTGTGTCAGAAAGACATTAGTGTGCAGTGGAGACGGAGGAGATCAGAGAAATACTTCAAGATATAGCACAGAGTACGCAAGCAACAACATCAGCAGCTGAGGCAGTAAAGAAAGCAGTTGAAGACGAAGTCATCAACAACTGGTCGGTCAAAACTCATTGCAAAGCCCGACATCTTTGACTATAAGTCGCAAGAAGAAGAGATCAAAGCACTTAGAGAGTGGTCATAGGTACTTGAGAAGTACTTGAGCTCAGTTGATGAGGCTTACATGAAGGACTTGAAAGAGATTCACGACAAGCCAAATGAGAGCTTTGACATGGACTGGGGGACTACAGAGGAGAAGTCAAGCTCTATGGATTGTTAGCTTCATTGAGGAGGGGAAGAGCACTGTAAGTGGTTAAAGCGGTGGAGGACTAATGGGTTTGACGCCTGGAGGAGTTTGAACAAATCATTGAAACCTACTTCAAAAGCTAGAGGACTAGCAGTTTTGGGAGCAGCCACTACATGGCCAGCGTTTTCAATGAACAGTGCGCTACAACCTCAACTCCTGAAGCTTGAAGAAGTATTTGATCAGACGGTCAAGGCAGGAACGGCAGTTCAAAAAGAGTTGAGAATTGCTATTTTTTGAGATGTGTAGGTGGACAGCTCAAATCATACTTGAATTTGACGATTGGAGACAACGTTCAATACTCAACTTTGAGGGAACAAGTGTTGCAATTGGGATCGTTCTCAGCAGAAGTGGGCTACTTCAATGGTGGCAAGTAGCAGTACAGACTATCAAGGACAGGCCTTAGGACATTGATGGAGTCCAAGATGCCAAAGGCAAAGGCAAGAAGGGCAAGTATGACCATCAGAAAGGCAAAGGTGAGGAAAGGTCAAAGGAAAAAAGGAAAGGGAGATCAGAAAGGAACAGAAGGTGAGCAGGAGGGCAAAGGTAAAGGAAAAGACCAGAAAGGCAAAGGTGTGGCTACATGTTACGCTTGTGGAAAGCCAGGACATCTTGCTCGAGACAGTTGGAGGAACAATATTCGACAGGTTGCAAGCGAGAGTTGGTCAACAACAAGCTAATGTTAGCCAGCAGAGTAGCTCAGCAAAGACCAAGCCAGTGGCCAGGAGAATTGAGAACGGTGAGCCAATCATCTTTGACTTGCGAGAAAGGGATGATGAAGTAGCAGATCATGGAATTCGATCGATTCACTTCTACATTGGAGATGATGATGATGTTGTTGATGATGATGATGAGCCAGAGGTGGAAGTTTGCAGGGTGATCGACGTCTCAGATGATGAACCCATAGTGAGGAGACTTGGGGAAGAGCATGAGGATGTGGCCAGCATTATTGACAGTGGAGCTGATGTAGCGTTATTCCCTTCGAGTATGGCAGGTGATGGGGGCGGAGAATTGGAGTTCAGCGCAAAGACCAAGCTACAAGACGCGCAGGGGAGCCGTATCCCCACTGGCATTGGGGGGTGCGAAAAGAAGTTTCCTTGCGTGACCTTGATGGACGTGAAGTTCTCAAAGAGAATGTGATCTTCAGTTCAAAGGTAATTCAGCCCATACTTTGCTATGGAATCGAGCAACTGTTGGAGAATGGTGACTTGAAGGTACCACTGAACTTGCAAAATCGCTTTTCGACAGTTCAAGGCCGCATTAGAGTCATTAGAGATGAAGATGAAAGCTGCTTGGAGGCGCAAGTGCCTGAAGCTTTGGAAAAGGCAGCAGGTTGGACGTTCAATCAGCGCGGATTGCTAGTTGGAAGCTTGTTGATTTCAACATTTGTCGATCCCATAGTCGCTCCAGAAGTGAAAGAATCACTAGAGTCACTAGAGCTGATGAGAACCACTTTGGTGAAAAGAGGAGGTAGATGGCTAATGCCTGAGTATTGTGAAAGCATGATGAACAAGGAGGAACTTGATGAGCATTTCTTTGATGATGACGCAGTCTCACCTTCAGTGACAATCTTCAGCTATGAGCCAGTACCGCCAGAAGATATGGGATTCTTTGCGCCAGGATACAAGAAGAAAGAAAGTAGGAAGTGGAGCAGGCAATCGAGGAGGTTACCCCTACTGTACTCCACCGGAGACGGGGTAGAAGACAACAA